AACTGAAGCTATATGTGTAGTTACTAAACAACAGTGACATCAAACAATTAACATGTAACAGAATTAAAACTGAAGCTATATGTGTAGTTACTAAACAACAGTGACATCAAACAATTAACATGTAACACAATTAAAACTGAAGCTATATGTGTAGTTACTAAACAACAGTGACATCAAACAATTAACATGTAACAGAATTAAAACTGAATATACTCCATTTTAATTGGATAGACCTGTGAGAAAGATGTTCAATATTTTAATATGATATAAAAGAATTATATGACTAGCATCATTGGAGTTCCATGTTTAACATGGTAAAGTATCAAAATATTTTTTATACTCAACTTACTTGTTTCTTGTAAATTTATTTGTTCTCAGTGTTTGTTAATTCTGTCAAGAGTAAAAATGTCTATTTGTTTACAAAACAATAAGTAAGATTAATAAATATGAAAGGAAAATTTGGTATAAAAACTTGAAGTAATATTTTATCCCAGACACCTTTCACACTAAGTTATACATCTTCTTATTCACAGAAAACAACATTATTGAAACAAAAATATATTTACATCATTTTTATGTACATATATATGGAATATATTTACATAATTTTTATGTGCATATATATGGAATATATTTACACCGTGTTTATGTACATGTATATGGAATATATTTACACCGTGTTTATGTACATGTATATGGAATATATTTACACCGTGTTTATGTACATGTATATTGAATATATTTACACCGTGTTTATGTACATGTATATTGAATATATTTACACTGTGTTTATGTACTTGTATATTGAATATATTTACACCGTGTTTACGTGCATGTATATAGAATATATTTACACCGTGCTTATGTGCATGTATATAGAATATATTTACACTGTGTTTATGTACATGTATATAGAATATATTTACACCGTGTTTATGTACATGTATATATAGAATATATTTACATTGTGTTTATGTGCATGTATATAGAATATATTTAGATCATGTTTACGTACATGTATATAGAATATATTTACACCATGTTTACGTGCATGTATATAGAATATATTTACACCGTGTTTACGTGCATGTATATAGAATATATTTACACCGTGCTTATGTGCATGTATATAGAATGTGCTTATTGAAAGATATTTTCTCTCTACATGTCAACTTGGTTGATTACTGTAATGTAGCATCTCCATATTTTTATCACAGACATCTTATTATTATCTGGGACTTGAAAAAATATGTTATCCATAAACTAAACTCTTTCTGTCACGAATATTTCATGCTGCTGATGTACCAATTAGGTGCAGAATTTAATAAACTTGTCATGGTCTCTTATTTATACCAATTACCTTGATGAAAACACAGAGATAGATACGAGGTAATTATAGAAACAAATTAATCATGGCTAAGAGCTGAAAAAAAGGAAAGTAGTTCTTAATAAACACTAATGTTTAGTAAGAAGACAGAATTGACCCAATACTGGCCTAAGGATAGTACTGTGGGAAACACCTATATTACATATAACTTGGTACATTAGGCCTTACTCAAAATAACCTGGATAGTACTGTTGGTAAAACCTAAACTACATAAAACATGGTATGATAGATCTTACTCCAAACAACCTGGATAACACTGATGGAAAAACCTAAACTATATATAACTTGGTAAGTTAGGCCTTATCCATAACAACTCTGGATAGTACTGATGGAAAATCTACTTGGTAAGTTAGATCTTTCTCCAAGGAGCTTGTAGGAAGGCTGATGGCTTAACTATGACCTTCCTCTTGGCAAAACCTGAAGAATATATACTATATATATATATATATATATTGTCCATCCTTAATGACGAAGTGGCAATCTGAATAGTGGTTATGGCAAAACCTGAAGAATATATACTATATATATTTGTCTATCCTTAATGACGAAGTGGCAATCTGGATAGTGGTTATGGCAAAACCTGAAGAATATATATACTATATATATGTTGTCTATCCTTAATGACGAAGTGGCAATCTGGATAGTGGTTATGGCAAAACCTGAATAATATATATTGTATATATATATTGTCCATCCTTAATGACGAAGTGGCAATCTGGATAGTGGTTATGGCAAAACCTGAAGAATATACAACTATATATGTGTTGTCTATCCT